TTTCTTCAGTCTTTTGTGGTCTGTCAGTGTCCCGGTATGTGCACAGGCGTGTGTGAAGAGTGCATAATTCCAAATTTATCTTTGCATTAGGAAGGATTACCTATGTACACAACATCCTGCTGGAGACTTCAGGTTAACTGTTCATTGCAACACACAGATCTCTGTTGCCATGTTTTGGGATTAATCCTAAATGCAAATCAGCTGTTTTATGAAAGTGTAGCTGATCTTTAAACCCAAATTCTGTAAAATGGGCCTGTTCAGTCTCACATAGGGCCATCTGATGAACTCAACAAAGTTTGCAAGGTTTTGTAATCCAGTTTCCAGGATGCAGATCCTAGTTTTCCAAGATACTGTTGAGTTCTGTGAAATCTCACTGCTGTGATATGTGCTGAACAGGTTAAAATCCCCAAATATTTGAAGTAGGACCAGTTAACATGTACTTTACTGAAACACTGGAGGTTTTAGTTACAACACATAGAGGTTTGAGATATTAAGTCAATTCAATGTTGTGGTGTGTTTTTTTTTTTTTTAAGTAGTCTTTAGATCTTGTTGAACAGAACTAAGTCATACTGATTTGCATTACATTCCCAGTCTTTATCAGCTCTCCTCTCTGGGCTTGGCCAGATGGCTGGTGATTACCTGGCTCAAAATCTACTTGCTGCACTCAAACTGGGATGACTTCAGTGCTTTCCAGTCTGTTTCAATCCCCTCGTATTTTAAACTACTTGGAGTGTTTTCTAGTCCTGCTGGGTGTTGTATTTAGGATACTTTGGAGGGGAAACAAACCCAAACTTCTTTGTGTCTCGCTCCCTTGATGTTTCACTCTGGGGATGAGTTATTCTCTAATTGTATCTCATATTTGACTAAATTATACTTAAACCACAAGTCAATGATGTGTTTTTAAAGCATTTCCTATGGAAGAGTAGGTCCCAAGATGGTGGATCTAAGCTCCCTGAAAATGAACTTGTTTTCAGCTGTGTTCTGTGGACCTCTTAGAAGTAGAAAACATGAAGTAGATCATCCAGCTAATCTAGAAAGCCTACTAATCCAAGTAAAATAATTTACTCAACTCTACTTTCCCACTGGGTAAGATTTTGGAGGCCTATGCTTAAGACTCTAAATCTGTTTAAAACTTAGGCAACTTATTTCAGTGTTAAAAGATGAAGTTATATATCTATTAAAAAAAAAAAAGGGTGAGGGGATCCATTTACTTAAAAATGTGCTCAAGTGTATTTTGGTCCTTTAAAGGTGTAATCCTGAAGTGCCTAATGGGGAGGGGAGAAGTGCAATTAAACAGCTGTGGGAGAGAAGTGGTAGTTGGTTGGTACATAGAGAACTTCTAGTGGACCAGTTCATTTTGTGTCATGGTGAATTTTAACTACTTCCTTTAGAAAGTTAAAAAAAAAAAAAAACAAAAAAAAAAAACAAAAAAACCCCCAAAACAAACCAAAAAACCCCTCAGGCTTTTCCAGGTCCCCTGTTGTGCAGTTCAGGTTCTGCTTTATGCTCCAGAGTGATGCCTCGGGTTATCTGCCCTATGTTTTGTTCCCACTGTCAGAAAGCTTAAAAGCATGGGATCAGCTGGTAGGGAAAGGTGGTGGTGCGTGGTTTGAGTTCAGGGCCTTTGCCTCACGCCAACACTCCAGTGTGGGGTGGTATGCATTTGAACTGGTGAGATGAACTGTGCTGACAGAGTGAATTTGAGGTGCAGGGTGAGAGTAAGCAGTGCTTTTATAGGAAATACTCTTAATTTGAACTCCTGGTGTTCTCTACCATATGAGTAAATATGTAGATGAAGTTGATTGTTCCCTGCAAGAATCAGAATTGACTGCAGGAATAATGCAGTCTGCGTGCAAGGCATGTGTGTACAGCTTGTGCTTTGTCATAGCTGGAGTCTTTGACCTGAGCTCTTCCCAGAATACAGCAGCTTTTCTCCCAGAGCCAGTGTGGGGACTTGGCGGTGTCTAAGGACAGGAAAAACGTGGAAGTTTGCAGCACAGTCATGTGATCTGATGTGCTTTCTGATACTGTGGTTTCATTTTGTTGCCTGCTTGATGCTCTCAGGAGCAATGAGTTTTAAAGAGAAACATTAAACACATCCTTTTTTAATTTTTTTTTTTTTTTTTTTTACAAAGGCATATGTGAGCTTTTCTAGTATGAGTGTACATACAGCATTTTAAGATTTATAGTTAATCACGGACTGGTATGCTGCAGTGAGCATAGGAAGTGCTTCAGAGCCTGGATTTTTTTTCTCTACTGTGCCTTCTGGGTTCTGGAAAGACTGTCTTGAAGCAGATATGTAATCTGCAAATTATGGTTACACAAGGAAATACAAATGATTGGAGCAACAAGGTAGAAGAGGAGGTTGGTCAGGAAGGGAGGGGAGAAATACAGAATGGAGGAGGAGGTAGGGTGGATAGCAAGATTGGGTTTCTCTGAAGGGGTGGTCAGATGGTGCTATTAAGCTGGAGGTGGATGTGCTTGTCCCCATGTGATAGCATTTGGGTTGTGCAAGAAGAGCTGGAGCAGGGATTTCCTGAGTTGGGGTGGACAATGTAATGAATTCCAGTTGAAAATGAAAGAAGCATACAGGAAGTGGCTGGGACCTGGGTGGAGGGTTGTTTTGTACTTCATTTATTAACTCTGAAAGGAATTCACAAAGGCAGCTACCTGTGCTGTGCAGTGACACAGCTGTGCTTGAGCAAATCCCAAAACAAAAGTCAGATGATGGTGCCTTATTGCATGGATAAGGCTGGCAAGCTAGTGAGCCATGCTGGTAATTTGGACTGGTTTTAGTTGGAGTGTGTTAGGATTGGCTAGCTAGGCCTGATACCTCTTTTGATGTGTTTTCCTTTTAAAATCTAAGTGACTCATCCCTTTCCACCTTTGTTTTGAGCATGAAGCCTTTCTTAATATGGGACCGAGCTGCTCTGTTCCATTGTCTGTCTTCTTTCTGGTGACTTCTTTTATTCTAAAATGTGATTAGTGCCACCAGCATGGCAAGGCAGAACTATGTGAGCGCCTTTGCAGTTGAGGCAATATTGTCTAATATTACTTAAACAGTTGAGCTGGCCTGAACACGAAAGATGTCTTATGAAACGGAAATGGTTGCTTTGGCCTTCTGAGTAATTGTGTTTGCTTCAGGGCCAAATTTCAGAGCTTTTTGTAGTATTAATGAAGGGCCTGTCGATATGGCTTCGTTGTGCTTGCTGCTGGGTGTCCTGTGTGAAACAGATCTGGTGCATAAATCAATAGATTCTATTTTGATATTGAAATACAGCACCAAGTAGAGGGCTGGTGATCACGCTTGATGCCTATGCAAATCTGTTGTTTTTGTATATGTTGAAAGAAGTTGTGTAGATAGAAGTGTTGTGAGTGTGTGATGTAGCAGATACTGTCTGATGTCCTGCTCTGAGACTCTTTGCTGCCATTTTCTAAAATTGCCTACCTGTAGATCTCTTTGTGGCTTATAGGAATGGTGGTGATTAGTATTTCCCTACAAGTACTGTTTTTAGGAACTTTTGAGGATCTTTATTATCCAGGTAACTGACTCTGCCTGAACCTTTGAGCATCCTTGCAGCATCTGAAGAAAAGTTGGTGGTGTAAGGTTTGTTTTGAGTCACTAGCAATTACCTTTCCTTGCACGTGTGATGTGATGTGCAGTATCAAATCACATTGGTAGCTTTGACCAGAGTGCTCAAAACCCTGGGATTGCATTGTACTTCTTCCAGATCACTGAGAAGTGAAATCTACAGGAAGTGTCCAAATGCATAGTTCGGTAAGGTTTGATTCAGTTTTTTAATGCAGCTGCCCAGATCTGAGAGCCACATCAACATCCTTGTTAGGCTAAAGCATTGCCACTATTCTGAGGGTAAATTCGCTGCAGTGGATGTCTCTTCTTGTCCTCTTCCGTCCACACCCTGGCAGGAGGTAACTCCGCAAGTCTTTGCTGCTGTAAATAAAAGTACTTCCAATAATATGGAAATGTTGAAAGTCAGTGGGAGCTTTGCCACTTAGGCTTGCTGGGGTCAGGATTTCACACCTGTATGTGAATGAATGGCCAGAGGCCCGGTTCTGTTCTAATTAAAGTAATGTATTAATGAAGGGCAGCTGTGTCTGGCACTGGAGGTACCTCGCTAATGTTTGGAGGAGGTATTGATGGCAAATACTGATTTAGTTAATGTGCTAAATTCTGTGCTGAAGTGTTGAAGTAGCTGCGTGCATTGTGATTTTTGTAATGTCTGGAGAGCAGTACAATTCCTTGGTCACCAGGTGCCCTGCTGAGCTTTTCAGTGCTGTTAGCCACTTCAAAGGCAATGTGTTAAGTAGGAACTTTAACTAAAAGATTGTAGAACTGTACTTAGGCCTTAAAGTGAGGGGAGGAGGAATGAATCATGTTTACTTCTGTCTGTACCTGCTTATTTTTATCCCATAAACTAGTTTCAAAGCTCATACTGCTGTGTTTCCTGCTGAGCTTTCTTTACTGAAGTGCTCTCCAGAGGGAAAATCTCTTGGGAGGCATGTGTGTTACTTAGCAGCCATCGAGACTTACACTTTCAGTTTCCAGTGCATCTAAGCTTGGATGCGTCCATGCTTTAAAAACAGTCTGGAAAAGCCTAAAGACCTTTTTTGCCCAGCTCTAGGTAACTAGGCAAGAGTCCCACTGTATATTAGAGTGACTGAATTTACTTAATCCTTCTTCCCAATGTAGAAAAGCGATCATGCTAAACATAGTTTTAGGTGGTGTTTGGCAATTGTATACCGTGGGAGGAGGTATTTGCATTTATGAAAATGAGTAGCTTCCTATTGTGTGTGTGGTGGAGGGAACAGATCTACCAGCTCATTTAAGAATGTCTTGGTTTTGGATCCCAAATGTGCTGCTAGTGCTTTGGGTTCCACTCAAATCTCATCAGATGACATGTGCTGCTATCTAGTGAGTATGAGAAACATCTAAATATGTCTCTTTTTTTTTTTTTTTTTTTTTTTTTTTTTCCTTCTAGGTTCCTATTGGAGTTGATATTCCAGTAGACTTCAGCTATGCAGACGATCAAGTGTGTAGTTGTGGGTGATGGTGCTGTTGGTAAAACCTGTCTCTTAATTTCTTACACAACAAATAAATTCCCATCGGAATATGTACCAACGGTAAGTATGAGAATGGCTCCAGTTGTTCTTTGGTCATGATGGGGTAGGGCAGCATGCATTTCCTTCCGAGCTAACCTTTATGGAGTGCATGCCTTAATACTTGTTCTTACAGCTTCTTCTCCTGTTGGAGACTTAACTTATAGAAAAGCAATGATCACTCTGATACACGGCTGCTAGCTATCTTTTGCATTACCCGATAGTGCTGGGATCTGGTTACCTGGTCTAGTCTTGCTGCTTGACTGTTCTGCAGAATCTGGGCTTGTGTTTGTTGATGGCCACCAGCTGGATTCTGTGAACATGATTATTTGCAGTTGTGATGACTGCTAAGTGGAGAGCAAGCAGCAGGAACACCTGCTTTCCAGCTTGTGGTCTTGGTTCTTGCTACATCTTCATTTTTAGGAAAAGTAGTAGTTTATGTTGCTAGAATAGTCAGCGACTACAGTTAATATTTTCTGAAGCTCATTTTTGCTTTGTAACTCAAAGATCCAGAGCTTGTGCAGTGAACTACAGAGTGTGGCTAGTTAACTTAAGCTAAGCATGAGAAATAAGTTTGAATTTAGACTGTGCAGTCTCCTTCATTTGTACTTCCAAACATTTGCCAACTTTGTGTGTAGTCCTTGACTATTTCTAAGTAACCTGCTTGAGTTTTACACCCTCTGAGATACTGAATCCCTGGACTTAGGTAAAGATCAAGTTGGGAGCAGTTTGCTGACTGCATGTGTGGCATGTGTATTATCTTTCCAATAGAAAAGTGCTTTTCTTCTTAATATCGCATATGCAAAATCAGCATACTGATACTGAGGTGATTCAGTTTTTTAGTGAGATTGCTGCAAGAGACTTCAACATCTGGATGTTCTTTTTACTAGTTTTGTCTGTAATGGACCTGAAAAGGCCATCTGCTAATATGCGAATTGAAGAGTTTACCTAGGTACCTTGAATTTGGATCTGGAAATGCATTGCAAAGAGGTTAAACACCTGGTGAAAAGGGTCAATAATATCTTCTGCTATTATAAATCAACTTAAAAGAACATACAGCTCCTCTGAGATGCCAGGTAGCTCTGCCTGATAGCTCTTTTGGAACAGTTACTTTATAAAAATGTCTTCTCTTTGTGGAAAATAAGTTGCAGTGAATGTCATTGCCTCTTTGAGGTATTGGCTTTGTATACTATCCAAAGATTCTTCAACTTGCCAGATTTGAAGTTTGTTAAGAATAGAACAGACTTTCACAGGATAAAAATGTTTGTGTTTGTGTTGTGGATTGAGAACTAAAGATGAAAGGACTCCCAACCCTGGGAATATTCAGGTTGGATGCAGTGGCTGCTGCTAGGAACCTGAGGGTTGTGCTGTAGGCATGGAGAATCAAGTTCAGCCTCTCTCATGGCGGCCCTGTATTATGGACTGGTAGAGAAGAAGTTGCATTTGAAACTACGTTCTGCCATTCTGAAGTTTTTGAGTGGTATCAAATATCCTGCTGTGATGCTTCTAGGAAAACCACATCCTATGCTGAAACTGTGGAAGTCTGCTTGCCTTATTTTGTCTTGACCATAAAGAATAGCTTAAATAAAAGTGGTCAGAGAGTTCAGGCAGTGAGTTTCTGTACTTATCCCTAGTGAAATGACCCTTAATTATGTCGGAAAATGTTATAAACTTAAAATGTTTATTTTGAAAGCTTGTGAGCTTGTCTGGTGTCCTGCAGATGGTAGTACTGTCTATAAATCCATTCTAACAATCAGTATGGAAAAGCTGCTCAAAGGAAGTTACTTGCCAGTAAAGTTTGTTCAAGGTGTGCTAAGGCTTATTTATAGTGTTTTTTTAAAATTGTCCCATGTTTCTGGACTAGTATCTACCTCTGAATTTAATGTCTTGAGAAATTCACTGCTCTGGGGATATCACAGGCCTATTTGTGATTATGTGTATAACCTAAAGGTGTATTTCAGACTCTGGAAGCTGGTAAGTAACCTCTGATATTCCAGCTAATGCTTTTAGTAATAAATGGGCAAAGAAATAGATAGCATTGTTCCCAAAATGAAAGCAAGCTGTCTGAGAGCTGATAAACCTTAATGTCCCCAGAATGTTTGTGGCTGAATAAGGACCCTAGAGTAAAGTGGGTAGGACTCAGACTGCTTAACAAAAATGTTTAAGCAGGAAGAGAACCTGGAGGTGAAGTTCTGATTTTGAGAATGTGGTGATTACTAGTGGTAGCTCAAGGCCAGTGTACTGACAAACACCCAGAATCCAGCTGTCGCAGCTACTGTGAAGCCTCTTGAGAGGAAGGTGGCACCCTTCTTCCTTGAGGGTGTCCCGCAGTACAGGGCACAGGGCAGTCAGTAGAAGGTAGAGATGCTTTAGCAAATAACAGTCTGGCTTCAAACTGAGGTGCTCTGTGTGTGCAGGCACCTGAGCGGCTGGTGTAAACTGCCTGTGCTGTTGCCCTGTGTAGCTCTACTTGTGCAGCGCTGTGGCCAGGACATCAGTGCAGAATGCATCAGTGGTAGACTAGTTTCTTTCACTTGGCTCTGTTTTGCATCTCGTTCTCTTTTTTGTGGATATTTTCCAATGGGAGATGGGTTTCATACTGGTACTGCACATGGTTTGTCACCTGCATGTTTGTGACGTCCCTGCTATTCTCAAAAAAAGCACCAAGGGACATATTAATGGAAGGGCCCTGGCAACATTTGGGTAGTGGCAGATCAGGTGTGAGTCCTGTAACACAAAAGCTCATGTCACCAGCTGTAATGGGCTGTCTGGCACTGGCAGGAATCGAAACTTCATGTTGGGCTGATTGTTGCCCTGTTTTTTAGCCTGTTGGCACACTTGAGGGTGAAATTATCTATGGATTATGCTGAGATTGTAGTTGCCAGGTTTGTTTGAAGGCTAGCCTTGTAACCCTGCCCTCCTTAGGGCCGAACCTTTTCAATAGTGGCTGTACCTCAAAAAAGAAAAAATTAAATTTAAAAAAAATCCCATTCTGCAGGTAGGGAGCTTAAAAAAAAAATCATGATGAGGGAGAATGCATGCTAATCCCCCTAAAGGGCAGCTTATTAGTAGTATTATTGACTTTCTATCCACTGAGTGAAAATGAGGGGGTATCTTTGGGGTGATTATGCTGCTGACCATCTTCTGACATCTGAAAGAGCAAGTGCTCTGACCTTCAGCACGGAGCATACCAGTTTCTTGTTCTGTACCTAGCAATAGATGAGTTTTTGTCCTGACCTGTCTTTTGGAGGATTGTAGTAGTATTCATGGCATACTGAATAGGCTCTGTAAAATGCCTAGTCCACCTTCCTCCAGCCTGAAGGTCTTATTTGTAGCTGGACACTTTCTGGGTTGTTCAGTAAGGCAGACTCAGTGCAACATGTAAAAGTTTGGGCTGCAGATAATGGAGATGAGTGTTGAAATCTCTTGCAGCACTTCAAAATCTTGAATGCTAATCCAAAATAGTATGAAAGGTGGACTTCTACTTCTAGTTGATATTGCTGGGGATATGGAGCATGCTGTGGCCATAGCTGCTTTCTCAGTCGCTCTGAGTTGTGAAAAGCTGAAAAAAAATTAGCGTGGTGTCAGGTACTGCTTTAAGCAGGACAGTCAGGTGGAAAGGAGACAGATCTGAACTCTTGGAAGTTCAGCTTTGAAATGCTATCTCACTGGTCTTATCTCAGTTTTTAGTGGGATTTTTTCAAGGACCTAAGCTTGTACTAAAGCCCTGTTAACAGATGTACGTGACTCCTTATTTCTTCGTGTCCCTCCCTCACTTCCATGAAAAACTTTTGAGATGTCTGCTGACCTCTTCAATGTTGCGGTTTACTTCAGCTGCGGGAGCTGCTCAGACTTCAGTTCTGTGATGAAGCAGAGCTTCCCTTTTCTTTTTCAGCGATCTCAAGTGTCTCTGAGTAACCTTGCAGCAGGGACAGGTTGTTGTTTGTTTGTTTTTGTTTGTTTTTTTTTTTTTCTAAGGTACTTTCTGAAATGAAATACTGTCTATTGCAGTTCTGCAGATAAAACTGTTATTGTAATTAAGGGTACTGACCTTGGGCAGTATACTCCTTAACGCTGAGTATATGGGTGTTGAAGGAGAAGGCTTTGGGTTGGTCCTTATCCACAGTTCTGTTGTTTACAAGTTACTGAATGAAACATTTTTGATAGTGTTAGCTTTTGATCTGTGTAGCAGGTCTGCCCTTGAGGACAGGACTGTTGTGCCAGTTGCTTCACAGAGACAATATAACTTGGTCTTCTGGAGCTGGATTCTCCATTTAGATTGAGAGTGAATTTGACACAGACTGATTTTTGACTAGCTATATCACTTCCTCCAAAAATGAAGGATAAGTTCCTGTTGAAAAGATGGACTCTCTATTGAAGTCCCTAAAAGTTCAGAAAGATGAACTTCAGAGGACTTGGGTCCTGTGAGAAGCCCCACAGCTCTGTGCCCTGAAGGGCAGGGCTGAAGTTTTTCAGTTCTGTCTTACAGGGGACTGTTTACTGTGTCGGACCAATTGTGAAGGTTGAAATTTCAGTGGCAGTGTGGGGAAACCTCTGCAATTACAGGAAAGAGCTGTTGCAGATGCTTGTTCAGTGGCTTTTACCCTTTTACAAGCAGTGGTGTACCTAGTGTGCCTTTGCTTTAGATACCTCACGGAAGCAGCTCTTGCATCCCTATTCCCCATTGAATTGTCTTGTTAACAGCCCTAATGGTAATAGCCTTGTAAGCCTGATGGCTTCTGTTATCCTGTGCAGGTGACTCTTGTACAAATTGGAGGTGGCCTGGCAAGGTGAGTAGGGTGATAGCTTGAAAGATGGCTTATTTGCATCCTTTTAAATGTGTTTCTCTTTTCTTACCAGGTTTTTGATAACTATGCTGTAACAGTGATGATTGGAGGAGAGCCTTACACCTTAGGCCTCTTTGATACTGCAGGTGAGAAAACAAGTGCTTGGCATTGTAATTGCCCAAGATTTAGTTCAGGTGATGTTGAACATGAAGGCATACAGTAGGTTCTTTATTTTTTTTGTTTTAATGAAAAATAAAAGTCTATTGATTCTTTTTTCCTGACCTTTGAGGAGTTGCTAAATTGACTTCATTTAAAGGGTAGAAACTGGTTCAACTGCTAGTTACCCAGTCCCCCACCCATAATAATACCAAAGTGGTGTGGCAGCATCTGGTATTGTAAACTCTGCATCAAGAGAGTCCTTCAGAGAGCTTAGTTCATAATCTGTTACCTAAAATTGTCTCAGAGCTTAATCTGACTGTTTCCAGTTGAATTCTTACAGATGCATCATTAGTTTTATCTGATTAATGAAATTATCTTAGGCTTCCAATTAAACACTATAACTACAGTTAGTTCTTCACATTCTCCTAAATGTGATTTATGTGTTAGTTATTGCAGACTCCCTAGTTCATGGATGAGGATTTGAGTAGAGAGGCTCCTTCCTGACACACACTGTGTAGACTGCTGTAGGGTCCAGTACTTAGATGGGTCTCAACTACAGCATTTTGGTACCTGCATGGGTAAAAGCTGTGTTTGGTCCTTCTCTGCCTGTTTTCCTGCTGAGATCCTCTGGAAACTAGTATGTGTGTGTAGATACACGTGTCCACGTGTTGTTTGTCAACATGGGTGCAGTAACCCTGAAAGTAATTCTGAAAACTAAGTGGTTTAAGTGTATGTAGATGACTTCACACGCTTGTGAATATAAAGGCTTTCCTTTCAGAGCTGGGTTTTTGTTCTTTAAAGGTCACCTGCTTTTTGCTAAATAGTAGCCAGCACAAGTTACAGAACTTAACAGTGGATAAACCCACTATTAGTGTCAAATTAAAAAAAAAAATCTTTCGTTTTGAACTTGTACTATGAAGACAAAGCTTTTTGGAGTAGTCTGTTAATTGCAACAAGATGCTTTGGTCAGTGCTTATGTCCAGCCAAGCATGGTAGCTGTAACACGCTGTCTAGACCTCCATCTTCAAACTGTAGATCTTCCTGCATTGAGATGTCCCAGGTGTTGAGTCATCTCCTTCAAGATCTCAGAGGTCTTGGTGCTGTATAATAGGCAAGAGAGCATCAGTTGAAATCTGAGGCATTTTGAACAAGGGTTTCTGATTTGGTTGCCAGCAAATACAGCAACTTCGTTAGTGCCAGGTTTGCTTTCTAAAAATAGTGCTACTGAATGAAGAGAAAGAGGTTTAAGAATGAGCTGAGGCAGAGTTGGGCTGGTGGGTCAGTGCTAGTGGTGCCCTGCGGGGACTGCCTGCTCTCCTAAGGGCCCAAAGGGAAGAGCCTGGCATCCTCTGAAGCACAGCCCATGCTGGGACTTTGGTGCATTTTTAGGGGAATGCTGCTGGGCAGCCTGAACGGAGGACACTTCGCTAAGTGTTTACAAGTGTAAGTCAGAATGTTCTAGAGAACAAAACTGCCTTTTCCCCTCCAAACTGCAGGGTTTTTTCAGGGTGATGAAATTTGATGGCATAATACTTTTAATGAATGGATTAGGTACAGAAGACTTCATCTGTAACAGGATCCATGTTTGGTAACTTTGTTACAATCAAGGGAAGTGTTTACGCAGTCTGAGGGTGTTTGATCTAAAAATGTATTAGAGCATACTGCTATTAGACTTCCAGCTCTCCTGTGACTTTAAGCAGCTCATTGTTACATAGCAACTGAACGAATTCTGGATTTGAAAACTAGGATCTTTGAATGTTTGGGTTCAGGGCATGTGCATTTGCTTAAGAGTTAGGATTAATCACAGTAATGCTGTTGTGCTGGAATATGCATTCTAACCACCTGTAAAGGGCAGTATTTAATTGTCTGGGTCTAATACTGTGTTAATTTTCTCCTAGGTCAGGAAGACTATGATAGATTACGACCCCTCAGCTATCCACAGACAGATGTATTTCTGGTCTGTTTTTCAGTGGTGTCTCCTTCTTCATTTGAAAATGTGAAAGAAAAGGTTGGTTGAACTCTGTCTAAAAAGGGAGCTGCTTCAGTGATTTTGGAAGTATGTCTTATCTTAGGTGGTTAGTAACAAATATTGTGTCTTCTCTGTCTTTAGTGGGTACCTGAAATTACTCACCACTGTCCAAAGACTCCTTTCCTGCTTGTTGGGACCCAAATTGATCTAAGAGATGATCCCTCAACAATTGAGAAACTTGCCAAGAACAAGCAGAAGCCCATAACTCCAGAGACGGCTGAAAAACTGGCCCGGGACCTGAAGGCTGTCAAATATGTGGAATGCTCTGCACTTACGCAGGTGAGGGTTGGTCTTTGACCATTGTTGCTTGTTTGTATTCCGTGCTTTTTTTTTTCAGTTATGGGGAAAACCAGCTCAATATGGATGTAAAAGGGTTTCTGTTTTTGCTGGTGACACAGTAGCTTCCTCTTTGTCCTGTTGTTCTAAGGCATAAGGAGTTGGCAGTGGTAGAAAGAAAATCATCCTGTGAAGATTAGGCATAGTGTAGAGGGGTGATGGAGGAAAATGTGCTTGCTGTGTTTGCTTTTGTGTTGGAGGAAAATAGCTTTTGAAAACTTAGGTGTGTTACAGGCAATGAATGGATAGAATGCCACTCTCTACTGAAGAGAACAAGCAAAGAAAAAACCTCAGAAAAGTCAGTTCTGGTACTTCTAAGACTAGAAGCCTTCATGCTTGTGAGAGCTGCTTTCTCTTCCCGTGCTGTGCTCCTGTGGTGAGCAATGTTTCCTGTGTCTACCTTAAGCTGGAAGTTCTGTTGAAACAGAAAATAACAATGAAATAATTCTTAAGCCACAGATGTGGTGATGTGCGAACTAACTTCTGAATGTGAATCTAAAGCCAACTAAAATAGCTAATTTGAGGCCAGGAAAGCCAATTATCCTTTCCCTTGAAGTTAGGAGTACTAGGGTGGGGTGGATGGGAGCCATCGGCTGGCTAGCTGTCATGTTGTCTTGACTTTGGATGCCCTGGGAACTTAATCTTCTGTGCCTAGTCTTGCAGAATTGACTCCAACTCTAACAATTTCCTTAATGCTACTCTGTAAAGAATTTGTCCCTACCTGATGTGCATGGAACTAGGAGTGCACAGTATCAAGTTTCTCATCCTTTTAATTTTCATTGTGCATTCATTTCTAGTGTCTTGAGCACAAAGCTTTACTGCTAAACTTCATGAAGCCTGAAGTTCTGGTTATCTTGTAACTTTTTCCTAGATTGCATGTTAGCTCTTCCATTTGGGATCCTGAGACTTTTTTTGTGACAAAGATTTGCCTGAGTGTTTGAGAAGGAGGAGGCTTTCGATGGAATGGTGCAGGACACTGGCACTGGAGGTGTTGTAGCAAGGCACACTGCAGTTGATCCTGGGAATCCCTGATCAAAAGGTGGTCTTGGCTGTACTTCCTTACTGCCCAGACACAAGCTGAGGGTTATTTGTGCCTAAGATGTAATTCTCTTGGATCTGTTTAGTCTTGAAATACCGTTTTAGTTGGTGTCCAGCACATCCTGAATGCTGATGTGAGCTAGGCTGTAGAACCTGCTAGTTGGTTAAATACATACCAGGACTTTTTGTCCTGTATCACTCAGAGACCCTTTCCTCTGTACCTTTAAACTTGCCTTGTTTAGCTGTTCAAATTGCATGGAAGCACTTAAAATTACCAGAGTAAGAGTTGATATGATTAAACATTTCAGTGTTTATCCGTTCTTTTTATTTCCAAATAGACTAAACTGTATCTGTTGCAGAGAACAGCTTTATGCACCTGGAAGCTCATCGTGAATTTCTTCCAGAGCACTAGTGCTTGTATACCCATTGATGATTTTAGGAAGCAATCAAGAATAACCTGGGAAGGAAAGTTCAGAAGCCTTCTCACCTGGAAAACTAGTCAGTTTGCATCTGCTCTGTTCTTCTTCCTTCATTATTTGTTGGCTCCCCTCACAAAACACCTTTTTCCTCAGTCTGTCAGTAATAGCCACCAGAAATGTAGATGAACTGTGAAGGGTTTCTTGAAGTTCCTGTCAGTGATCTAGCTGTCAGCTTGCTAAACACAGGAGTCGGCTGGCTTTCCTAGCCAGGAGGGTTGTTTTCCTACCTGCAAGGCAGTGTTGTAGTAGCTGATTTCAACTGAAGCTAGACTCAGCTGGGTAGTTCAATCTCTCTTTACCTTGGCTTCCATGTACACTGTTTACCTCAGCAGTCTAGGGTGGTTTTTTCCTTCCCAACTAATTTACAAATGACTTTGACACCACAACAGCAAGTAATCACATGAAACCAGAGTATGGTGGTTTTTTTTTTTTTTTTTTCCTGGGAGGAAGAATTTGCTTGGCTGTGTGGAAAAGTCAATGTTCTGAAAGTACGGGGTGAGTTGTAAGAGGCTGAGTTTTTGAATCTTCTCTGTAAAGGCAGAGGATCTTACCCCTGAGTTTGGATGACTGTACTACTGAGGAGTCAGTTCTATCCCTTCTTTCTTCAGGTTGTGGAATCCCTTTTTGTGATGAAGGCACTTTCAATGTCTGTCGTCAACCTTTCTCTACAAAATGGTACCCAACACCACTGTAAAAAGTGGATAACACTTTGGTGTTAGGAAAGGGTGACTGACAAACAGATTACCACTAAAATGACTGTTGCTTCTGCAACATGAGTTAAATGTCTGATCAGACTTTCTGAAGCTCAATGCTAGTACCTATCATAAGGGACAACTCTGAATTCGGTTCCTTTTTTCCCATGGATGCTGGGTTGGCAGTTTTGACAGTCAGATTTATAAATTGTCTTAAACTGTCCATGAATGGTGGGGTAAAGGGAGCCTGAGTTCAACCTGTTTACCAGTGCAGCGCAGGAGCCATATTACTCTAACCAGAGTATTGAGACCTACGTGCCAGTGGTATCAAACATAGTTCCCTTCATGTGGTTACTCTTGTATCATCCAGGCTTTTAACCTTTCACAACGATTGTCCCTCTCATTTTTTAGTTCCTCTTCCCTTATCCCATTTTTTTTTTTAGGTCCTTCAAAACAGATCCCAAATTCTGTTTTCTCGAACAAATTAATTTCTGTTCAATAGGGAAACAAAAGAGGAGTCGTCCCTGAGTAGGAGAATTAAGGAAGCATGTTTTCTTGACTCTTGCCCTGCCTGGGTTCTTAGTCTATGCAACAGTACATAACTGAGTTTATACTACAGTCTTATTCTCGCAGAGAAAGAAAATCTAATTAGTACTTGGACTTCACATAGGCATTATTTATCTGAAGTCTCAAGCTCTGTCAGCCCAGGTTGCAACTCATTTAAAAAAAAATGCTGGGGAGGATGTACAGAATGATTGTACATGGTAATTTTCTTCTGTTCTTTCAAGTATAATCTTGCATGTAACACGATGGATTTAAATGTTTCCAGATGGAATTACTTTAGAGATCCATGTATGTGCTTCAGTAAAACAAGATTAAAGACCTTGTAAAAGGGATATATCCAGTCTAACCTGTGAGGGAGAAACCAGTTACATTTGAATGATTTAAAAATAAAAAAATCATAATCTTAATTTTGCAAAGACTGCAATTGTTTACAGGAAGTAGTTTGAGGTTTTCTGTTTGCCTTTAGCTGGGCTAAAGCAGTTCTGAATTTATGAAGGTTGCACTCGTGACAGTAGATTTAGGCGAGTCCAGTTAGCATAAACTGAGCCAGGTTTCACTTCTTGTGAATGGTGTTATGTGTAACTGGGCAGAGTTGCGTGGGAGTGGTAACACTGCAGTGTTCCTGTTGTGCTTATAGCAAACACTACGCATGCTTCGTGCTCCGGTGTAATCCCTGTTGACTCCTTGCAGCTCTGTGACTGCTTGCCTGGTGTTGGATCTCAGTTATTCCAATCCTAACACCGTTTCTGTCTTCCTTGACTTGAGTGGTTATACTTGCTTTGGTAACTAAACTGAATAACTGAAATGCACGGTTTCCATGCTGGCTCTCGATGTCAAAATAGCAGGGCTGGTGAGGTGCTGCATTGCTTCTTAGAAGGTGGATAGCCAATGTCTGAAGGTGATGATGGCTTATCAGAGATGTACTGCTTCAATCTCTGATGATGTTTTCCCCAGCCATCTGGAGATCTTCAGTTATTCAGGGGCTGAATTCACAAAGCAGAGGAGTTGTTGGGAGCCTTTGCTCTGGACTAGATGCCGCTGGGGTAGTTAGTTGGGAGCAGTAAGTCTGTACATCTGAGGTACTTGCTTATCCACAGTGGGTGACTACAAAAGGTTTACCTGACCTTTCAGATCCCTGTGGTGGGGCAAGCTGCTCTCCACTGTGTTTATTCCCCTGTAAACTCCCTAAGTGTATACTCAGCAGTTAAGTGGAAACCACCATCACCTGTGTGGCCCTTCCCACCTCTGCATTTTTGCCAATTGCTGCTGTGTGTGCCTCTGCCCTTCTGGGTGTTCATTTTGTCTAACCTGGTCTGTCACACGTTCTGTCTCTGGCTTCTGGGTCATCTAAATGAGATTTCCTCCTGGGATCTACTTTGTTTTTTGCAAAGTAAATCTGTTTACTGCCTCTGTGAATTCAGCCTGGTCTGTCCTGAATGCTCTTTGTATCTGCTTGTTTTTCTCTAATCCTCTAACCTGGCTGCTGTTTTTTCTCCTCCCCTCTGTCTTGTAGAGAGGTCTGAAGAATGTGTTTGATGAGGCTATCCTAGCTGCCCTCGAGCCTCCGGAAACTCAGCCCAAAAGGAAGTGCTGTATATTCTAAGCTTTCTCCTTCCCCTCTTGCTGCTGCTTCCTCTGTCCCACTACTGTAGAAACCTGGTTAAAAAAATGAATAAAACCACCTTGATTGAAAGCTGTTGTGTCTGCTTACCATCTTAGAGCAACCTCTGTATTAGCTCTTGAACTGAAAACATTACTTAAGATCTTTAGTAAAACGTTGCGACTATGGAACACGAACTGGACTCGCTTAACTCTCTGCTGCTTGGGTTGCCAGATGTGGGTAGCTTTATAATTCAGGCTGTTGTGGGAAGGGATCTGGTTACATCGTTATTTAAAGAAAGATCAATAGAATAAGACATGATGTTTGATCTTTCTGCATTCAACTGGAAGAAACGATGTGTGTTTTTTCAATTTCTTGTGACTTGTTAACTGTATTTGCATGACAAAAGTACATGAAACAGTGATCTGCAAGTTAAGCTGTAATGTGAAGGGTTTTCTGGTTCTCCTTTGTGCAGTGAGATGTTTTTCTGTTGCTATTGCTTTGGCTGTCTGTGCTGTAGTGGAGTATTTGTCAGTCCTTGGGGGGAAGGAAGTATCAATGTACTTGCTACTGCTTTATGAACTGTTAAAATTCTTGCTTTCACTAACATGGTAGACCTCTTCATTTCAATAATAGATCCTTAAAGCCTGTTACTGTAAGATGTAAAGCTGCTTCTTACTATCATGCTTCTGATTTTTATTGTTTCAAGGAGAAAACATAAATTGTAGCTTGTCTTTAAATTTTGAAATTAAAAATTGCAGTTGTTTGTATAAATGACTGATGAAGCTTTATTCCCATTTGCACTCCTGGATTCAGTTTAACACTTAACGCAATGTACCGTACCCGCTTTGTACTCTTTCCATCCTGACTTCTCTGCCATGCACAGCTTCTGGGCTCTGCCTGGCTGCTTCTAACTGTCAGGACTTTGGGGCCAGAAACCTGACCAGAGTGTGTACTGGACCGATTTAATTGTTGCATGCTTGCCTTGTCTCTTCTCTCCCCTGACACACGGGTGTCTGCACTGCTGTACCTGGCGTGCCCCAGATGGAGCTCTTCCACCCGAATGCAGCACTTTCTGCTTTGTCATTAGCATGTGAAACATGTTAGTAGCCAACTAATCATAAAAATTGCCTTAAGGAAATTACTCTGATATGTGTGTGTTTGCTTCTTGTAAAGTATACTGGTCTGGTCTCAAAGAATTCGCGTTCCTGTTCGGAAAATCAGATGCTGTGCTAAGGAACTGTTAACTGCAGCAACGCAGCCTGGACAGAGCCTAGCAGAACAGAGGAGATTCTGGGAGTTGTAAATGGCAAACCTTAATTCATCATTAGAGGGGTTTGTCTGCCATTCGGCTTTCTTTGGTTTTGTTTGTGTGAAAACTCAAAAATGAGACTGCCCCTTTCTCTCTTTGCCCCTTTTCAGAAAGGCCTAAAGAATGTATTTGACGAAGCGATATTGGCTGCCCTGGAGCCTCCGGAGCCGAAGAAGACTCGCAGGTGTGTGCTGCTATGAACATCCCTCCACAGCCCCTTCTGCAAAGCTGGTGTTTGATGTCATACTAAAAGCAATGTTTAAATCAAACTAAAGATACAAATTTTAAAATTTGTTTTCGCAATAATGACAAATGCCCTGCACTCCCATCTCCCCCACACGATCCCTGTGTGAGATGAGAATGTTAGTGTTTATTCCCCAGTGCTCCCTCAATTCAGTTAAACTAGTTAATTTTGAGTAATTATGTATTATCAGAAAACACTGATCAGTACTAGTTTTTTATTTTGTTTACTGTTTCTAATTTTTTTTTGTTTAAAATCCAGGCATGCTTGTGATGACTTTTTCTGTAACAGACTAATTCTAGGCTGTTTACTGAAGCCTTGTCCCTTATGCCAGTCTGCCAAGACTTGGTTGTGGTTTCAAGAACTTCTAGGGCTGTTCTGGAGCCAGCCAGCAGCCTGGGTGTGAGCAGACTTTAGTACTAAAGACAAATACAGGAAAGTAAAATGTCCCAAGCTGGTGCTCCTCTAAGGAGGAGTGTAGAAAATGTATCTGCATCTCCTCTGAAGTTGCCTTGTATCTCTTCCCCTGGCTCTCCACTGTGCAGGTCATAAATTTCTGCCCCATCCTCTAAGTTATGAAGCCTTAGGAATAGGAGAATCCTTTTTCTCTGGATGCACCATCAGACTTGAAACTAGCTTGCCAGTCTCTTCCTTATTCTTTGACATCATAAGCTTTTGTCACGTGATGAAGAAATAACTGCACCTGTTTAAGCATGCCCAACTGAGTCAGTTGGCTTTTAACAGATCAATCTTCTGCCAGTCCTTAATTATTGGAGAAATGCTTACAGTGACCAGCATATACACTGCTGTTTGGACACTCTGAAAGGACCTGGTGTATGTTAAGATGAGTTTTGGAGCTGGCTCTGGTGGTGCATCTCTTACTGGATGGCTTGGCATCCTTCAGGGAGTGGTGGAAAGATAGACCTGTGTCAGTAGGAGGGAACTGCAGGGAGGGGTTTCTAGTGTTTAGTGTGGCACCATATAGGGACCAGTTAAGGGAATCCTCTTTTTCTGTGTTTTGCTCGTAAGTAACCTTGAACCTGTAAGATGGGCTCCAGCCTGCTGAGGATTGTGTGCAGGGTCTTTATGTAGACTGACTGCAGTGTTGTAGGGATTTTACCAAAAAAATATTTTGGCTTGCAAATTCAAAGTTTTTTAAGACTTAGGGAATCTTCTCCATCTTCCAAAATTCTCATTTCTTGTAGACTCGTTAGTGTTGAACCAATGCTTTTTCATGTCTAAGTTCTTTGTATATGCATTCTTTTCAGATGTATTAAACATAAAGTATCTTCACAAGCCTGCCTGAGGGTAGTTATTTCCCTTGCCTTTCTCTTGAGTGTGAAGGACTTGTAAATACGGCTTTTATCCCTTGCGAGCCCTCCTCTCCTCCTTGCAAGTTAGTTTGGGTCTTTCCTTAATGCTTAATTATGTCAGTTCACGTCTTCCCTCATCTCTGCTGCTGGCCTCAATTCTGTCAAGATTGCTCTAGTCTTCGATGCAGTGTCTTTGCTGTTCTACCCAACTCTGAAGAGAGGGCATGGTGGTTCTTAACAAAAGGAATACTCATTGTTGTGCATGTTCCCAAATATTAAAAGTTGGCTTTTGGGGGTTATTGGGCTCTTGCACCTTTTCTGTCAAGAAGCTAGTCTTTGTGGAAGTTTCCTGTTGTTCCCTGTTCACTTGCAGATAACAAAAATCCTACAGGGATAAATGGCATCATACCTATCTCCCTCCCAAAAATGCACAGAATTTGTTACACCTTTTTTGTTAATTGTCCAAAGAAGCGGTGCGGTCTTACACTGTTGATGCATAACTTGTATTAATTATTAAAACACATTCCAAAGAGCCTCATTAAAGGTCATTTTTACTTTAAGAAGCTGACTTGTGAGTGCTGTAATCCAAAAGCTCAGCGTAAAATGTGTGCGTTCCACTTTTAGCAACTTTGCAGCATGGTTTTTAATTGCTGTCTTCTGTGGGGAGGCTTGGCTGTAGGTCTGTGACTTGCAGTTGAAAGTACTGCTGGTACTAATTTCTGGTGACAGTTGAGTGTTGGTGGCTGCTCTGTGAGCTTGCAGCAGACTGAAATGGACCTCTGCACCTTCTGACAGCTAAACCCAATTCATGTACCTAAAGCCAGCAGCAAGATTGGTGACCAAGGGATTGTCTGCATGAAATCAAGTAGGAAACTGCCTCTGAAGTGGAGGGAGAACCCTTTAGGACTTGTGCTTTAAGTAGCAGGGTTACCCTGTCAAGCCTTTTCTGTCTTGGATGAGTCTTTTATGTGGAGGTTGCCTATAGCTATCTGGTCCCTCTGCATATGCTTTTATGGCAGTGATCTGTGACAGTCTTTTCATGCAGGTCCATCTGGCTAAGTGATAAGGTCTGTGCTGTTATATCGGTGCCACAAGGTTAAACTTGGCTCCGGAAGGAATCCTGGAGGTGTTGGATGATGGAAAAACACCCTTTTCAAAGATCAGTGCTTCTTCCTTCCGCTCTGTGTTGCATTAGCTTTGTAAAAGTCTTACAGCTCCATGACTCTGCTAGTACATAGCTGCCCCGGTCCAGAGAGAGGACGAGATGCTGGAATTGGTTAAACAAGCTCAAACAGCTTAGCTCATGGGCTTTTTCACACTATGCCTTTTTTTCTCTGGAGCTCAGTAGTGAGGTCTTTCTCAAGCTGGGTGTGTGAGATGTGCTCTGTGTTGCCAGTGTGTAGGAGCTCCTTGGTGACCATCTCCTTCCTGTGTGAAGGCATGCAAAACAGAAAAAACCACTGAGAAACACCACTTTCTTCCTCTTCTGGGACTCCTATTTTCAGCTAGCAGATTTGAAAGCAAAGGACTTGGAGGCAGGTGGGAATACTTGGCTCTTCCCTTGATACTAGCCTGGCAGGTATGTGGTATGAGCTGCAATTGCTTCATGTTACTGCTTTTGCAATAGAGGACTTGCCTATTCAAAGATGCACCCACAGCTCCGTGCTGTCTTCTTTCTCACTGGTGAGGATTCTTGAGGTATCCATAGTAGCTTACTAGCACAGATAGTACAGGGGGTTTGGGCTGGCTGCTTAACCAACTCCTACATGTGTATTAATGACATCTCTTGTAAAGGGCCAAAAATCTCTGATGGTAAGACATCTGAGAATCATATTAAAATTGTTCCAAAGACTGAAGGCTGCATGGATGCTGAAAGCAGCTTCTTGTTTTAATAGCTGGGATGCACAGTTATTTCTTAATGAAATCTTTTGGTTATTCATATAACTCTTACTAAACAACCACTTCTTCCTGCACAAGGAATAGGCTAGTGATTTCTAGATTTTGGTTGGCTCTCATGTGAACCTCCAATTCTTAATACTAAATCAGTTTTGCGTAAAAGCAGGCAGTGAGCGGAGTTCTTGCTTCTGTTGGCCACTCCAGAGCTGCTTGTCTCCTGAATCAATGGTCATCCCCTTTCCCTGCCTTGGCTGTGTGTTCTCACACTGTCCTTCACACTAGCTCCATTCAGCTGTACAGGGAGACAATTACATTCACCAATTGCACGTAAATGTAACATCTTGCAGGATACTTTCCTGCCGAACTAATGGACTCTGCCTGTTTTTTTGTGGTCAAGCTGATGCCACAATGACTGCAGGGGTGGAGGCAGGAGAGCAGATCTGGTATAGAGGCTTAGGGAGGAGGTGGAAGGGCGCACATTCTGACCAGTTCAGCTGTATCAGGTAAACACATGTATGCCGTGGTGCCAAATGGCATGAATCAGTTTGTTTTTCCACTGTGCTGTTGTCAGCAGAGTTGAAATGTGGAAACTGAGGACTATTGGCTAAATAGGCAAATACTTAATGTGAAGGAAAGTCCTGCCTCTGTTGTGAGGGACATACTTGCATCAGAAATCCAAAACAAGAGGTTGGACTCCAGGGTTGATTACTGGTGGGAAGAATGCTCCAGGGCAGCAGTTGCTTTCCTGAGCAGGAGGTAACTTTAAGCACACCCTTATATTCAGTCCCTCCCTTGCTGATTTAGTTAATGTGTGGAAATTTCCCACTGTGTACAAGCTGATCTAACCAACCTGACTGTTTCTGTAGCTCCTGGTGTGGGCATGGTCTCTGCATGGCTGCTGTAACTCAGGCTGGTGCTAAGATTGTGTTAAACTGGTGTCTGTTTTTACTCTCCAAGCTTTCCTGTGCTGTGCCATCAGGAACGTGTTAGAGATGTGAACTTCCTCTTGGTCTCCCTTGCTGTTTCCCTGTGGGGCGATGGGAAACTACATTATGCCTTGGAAGATATGGTGCTGCTGAACAACAGATGCAGCTAGGGTCTTCTTTTCTTAAGTGTTTGGGAGATCAGTGAGACCAGCTGAACTCTGCAGCTTTTCCAGGAGGGAGTTTGTCTCTCCAGTAATGTTCTTTAGTCCTCTCCTTCCCAGTAATGTGGTAGTTCTTGCCATCAGTGCTGTGCATTATGCTTACTAAGGGGTGGCCTTTATTAAAACATGGGTAGGGTATCATGTAACGAAAGATGGGCACATTTGATAAGACCTCTGACACAAGAGCTTTTGGGAGCAACTGCATCTTTACCAGCAGTACTGGGTCACCCAGGCTCCTTATCAGTTTGTTTCATGGCATTGCCCAAACTGGCACAGCACTGGGCGAGCTGCCTGTTGCCTGAAAGGCTTTTCAAGCAGTGTGCTATCTCATCTGACCTGGGGATGGTCCTCTTCATTGTTCACTGTCTCTGCTTGGGTTATGTCTGTCTGCTCTTCCTTTCTTAAGGGGCTCCCAGAAGGGAGATTTGACAAGGTGCAGCTACTTCATTGTTAGGTCAGATTGATGTGCATATCTCCAAGTTGTCTGTACTTGATGTGCCCTATTTTGCATCCCACAGTGGTTTTGGAGTGTGTTAGTTGGATTTGTACTAGCTAAAATTTAAATGGATGTTGTCCTTCAGCAGCGAATGGAGTGTGAGTCTTTGGGCCCTTGCTGGAGTTAGTTTGAAGGGCCCCCTGAAAAACTCAGTGTTGCTGTTGGGTATGGTTTCACTTGGCAGGTCTGCTCATACTGTCTCTGCTGTTTGCTGCTGTAGACACAGCTAAAAACAGACTGATGATTTTGGCCCATTCCCAGGAGGCAGCAGTGTCCTCTGTTACTTGGCCACCATCTAGGTCTCATTTTGCAGCTGGTAGCAGCTGCCTCCTTTTAAAAACAGACTTTGAGTGGGATTTGCAAGAGCTGTTGTCAGCACTGCCCCTGACCCAGCCTTCCTGTTGTCTTAACTACATGCACCAGCCTATCTTTCACTGTTGCAGCTATTTTATGTGGGGTGCTTCTGGGGTCCTGTGCTGGGGAGGTGCATTACTTTGCTTTCCCTGGCTGCTCATACTCTGCTTCCTTTGACAAACATTCCTCACTGTTCATCTTCAACCCCTGCTCTCCTGTCTGAGGACTGCAAGTCACCATTTGGGTGCCTGGAGACCTTCCTGATAGTGAGTAGTAAAATAGAGAAAATCAAGCATGAAAGAGGAAAGTACTGCTTCAAAAACTGTAAAGAGTAATCCAAAAGTGATTAAATTAAGAATAAATTAGTTCTAGCTGGTGAAAGCTGCAGGCCCCTGCTCTTGTCAGTGCATTCCTTTGTGAGCTGAATCAGTTCCTGAAACCGAGCCTGGGAAAAAAGAAACCATGAGCAGGGACTCATTGGCTGGCTGGAGCTCTCCTGTGAACTCCTGCCCTAAATGACTTGTCAGGGATTGCACAAGAAACTGGTAGCAGGGCACAGGCTTGAGCTCAGCTGTGAGGTTATCTTGTCTAGAGATCCTGCTGCCCCGTCACAAACACACTGGCAGGTCCAGAACCTCCTCCCTCTTCTTCCCTTGTAAGCTGGTGCCAACCAACCAACTCTTAACTATAGTGAGGTGAGATAAAAATATAGTTTATCATGGGCTTAGACCAGGATAAAAAGCCAGGATAAAAATGGAATTGGCTTTAGCTCAGACAGAGGAGCCTGGATGAGAGTCAGGGGAGTGAAACTCCCGATGCTGCAGCAGGGTTCCTGTCTGATTTTGAGGACTCTTGGCAATGGATTCTGCACTTTTTCACACCTAGCCTGATGCTGCTGCCCTCTGCCTCCTCTCAGGTTTGTTGGAGGTTGAGAGTAACAGCAGCAGTGTATTTGTTTGATCACCCCTACTGTAGTGGCCTCTGAAAATTAGGAAAGTCTTTCTCCTCACTCCAAGGAGGTTTTGTGCCTGAATTGTCAGGGTAAGCCTTGGGAGTGTGCTGCTAAGGACCAAATCAACACAGACCCTCTGCAATGTGTGCTGACAGGCCAGTGGGTCTGCTTTGCAGCAGGGAAGAGGGCTTCCCTGAGACCGTAACAGTCGCCTCATCACACCCGAAGCCCATGTAAAAGGCAGAGAGAGCGTAGTGGGGTGTATCTAAGTTACTGTGGAGCAGGAGCTACACAAGGAGGGTTCAGTGCTCAGAAATGGAATATTTAATGTGGCCAAGCCTGTAAATGGTTATGTTTCAAGCTGCCCTCTGGTGGTTTTGGACAGAAGGACTGAGATGAAAACAGCCTGCATTATTGACGTCAGCTGCTCTCGTAAGAGCCTCTGCAGCAAATGGAACTGAGTGCTCCCCGCACCACACCCAGGGACCTTCCGGAGCTGAGCAACACTGGGGGCAGAAGCTGCAGGGTGGGATGTGGTGGGCTGGGCTCCAGCAGCCCTCTGGGTGTCCTGCAGGGTCTGCGGCCGTGCCTGGGTCCTGTGTGCTGCTAATAAAGCCTGGCGAGGAGGGACTGAACAAATCTGCTGTAAAAGGTCACACAGCTTGGTATCTGCGTGGGAGGTGACTGGATGTTTCAGGGTCAGGTGGTGGAGTAC